CTAAAATGGCCTGCTAATTAACTGAGGGATTAACAGATTTGACATGTAAGCTAAATAAATGCAGGTTGGAATAGTGGAACAGGAAGGCTACAGCATCAAAAGTTATCTGTTGAGAAAGCCCTGAAGAAACCTGTACTGTGGAAGGAGGCACAAGTATCATGATAGTATCTACAGGAAACAAATGATAACTTGTGATGCTAGATTCTGGTTTCTGTATCATTCACTGAAATTACTTTGTGTGGCAACTCCAGATGAAGAGGAAGTCTGAGAACCACGGTTCTCAAATGATTTCAGATAAGGTGCAGAGGACAGAAACTAGAAGGGTGCTGTTTCACTCACAATGCAGGTATTGCATTTGTTGTCTTGCAGCATCTCTGGGGGCAACTATGATAATTGCTTACAAAATACTGGAGAATTACTTAATGTTCATTAGCTGAAAGTAGACTGACAGCATACAGAACTGAGCTGCAGGTGCAATTTCTTTTTGAACCACCAGTGATCCATAGATAAGTTCAAGAGTTTCAGCAGGAATGGATTGTGTGCAGCCTTATGCACTATTCAGAGTTGGGTACATAATCAAATGAAATATGCACAACTGCTGCTTTTCCTAAGGCCAGACCCTCATATTTGCAGCATAAAGATTATGAAGATGAGGGAAATAACAATGTCAAAAATAACATGGCTTCTCACAACATTTAATATTTTGTAACGCTTATGCCACTACCACCAATATTTAGCTGTGTTAAAAATACCCTTTGTACATTTTCCATGCAATCTGTCCTTCCTGCACCCTTGCTGTGTCTTTGTATATAGGCTGCAATTCTTTTGAAATAGCATGGATTTTTCTTGTGCTTTCTGTGGAATTTTCTTTTAAAACAAAGCTCTGTAGCACACCTAGAATAAGGCTCTGGTTTTGGATGTGTTGCTGTGGGCAGTCATAGGAACCAAGTCATAATTTCTTGTAGGTTATACAGTCTTTCTGTTGGAGTCTGTCATGGTATGTGTGGGTGCTTTGAAATATTTTATGCAGATTGAAGAGCTTGATACTCAAAAGCTGCTTGTGAATTTTTTTGGACTTGCAATTCAGTAGAAATGTTTCAGTGTACAAGCAATGAGTTCATTGAATATAAACCAACTGTAGTATAGGCTTGCAGCTCTTTAACAGGATAGTATATTTTTATTTGGAGTATTTGTGAATGAGGAACCAACAGACTTCTGAAAATTGCTTCCTACTAATAAATCAAACTAAAACTGGGGTTAAACTGGTATATTATTTACAAAAAATGTTTGTCCAAATCTTTGTCTTTATAGAATGGTAAATTACTTTAGAATATGTGAAACATTTTTTTATTTTATGAAAAAATTACACCATCAATTCCCATGGTAATTTCAAATTGAATCTATTACTTCATGGAAAAATGTATTTATGCTGCAGAATTCTGTGTAACTTTAGGCAAGCCAATTTGTAACTATTGAGCATATTGTCAAGGCAACTTTATTATACTCATGAGGCTATTTCTGCTGAAACTATGCATACTGCCACCCTACAAGCAATAATGGTGTTGAGCAAAACTTAACTTGGAGGTAAGGAACTAACTAGTTGTACTGCTAAGCATGCATTTATGCACTTTGCATTTTTTTTTTTACTCTTCTTGAATTTATCATGTTTTAATAACAGATGAAAAAGAGTTAGAAGGACTTAAGAAGCGTCCTCTGCTAAACTGTTTAAAACTTTTATAATAAATGAAATGGATTTGAGATGCATGGAAAATACTAATGAATTTATCATGAATCCTTTAAAAAAGAATGCTTTAAAAAGAATATAAAAATATGGTATCAGATATCAGGTCTAGTCCTCCTAAGATGAGTAAGGAAATTGCCACTCAGAGGTCAGACTGCAATGTACAGTGATCTACTGTAGTCCGAATTCAATTATTGTCACTATCTAAAACTGACACAACTTTTGCCTTTTTTTATGTTAATACTTATCTCTTAGTTAAAGTGGAGTTAATTCTGGTTTAGATTAGTATAAAAGAAGCTAATTTTATTCGTTTTAACTTTCCACCATTCTGATACAATGTTTAGTAAACATTTATGGAGTAAGTCAATACAAGTCTTAATGTGAGGAAGCTTAGAGTGAGCATGACAGATTCAAATGGAACTGTTAACTTTTACATGAAAAATCAGTATGATTGATTATACAATCAAGTTCATGTAGTGAGTCCTTGATACACACACCAGGAAATCTACAAACACCACTGGGAAATGAATATTATCTATCTTTACTCTGTTTACTTTATAAAATTGAATGGAAGAATTTGGAAAATCTCCTATCAGAGTTTTGTGTTTTGTTTTTGTTTTTTTTTTTTAAAAAAGCTACCAACCAAACCCCAGAACAAAATAAAATCTACAACCGACCAAGAAACTATCCATAACCACCAACCAAAAAAAAACCCAACAAAACCAAAACTAACAACAAGAGAAAGCCTTGGAAAACCAAAAAAGTGGAATTTAGGCAGTGGAAATGCTAGAGTATTTTACTCGAAAGCCCTTGAGCAAATATAAATATGCTTGGATCAACTAATGGCATGCAAATGAAGATCACTTAAAAAAAAAATAAGAAACTGTTCCTATTCTGAATACTAAATGGAATCTTATAGAGAGACTATAAAAAAAACCTTACTCATCTGGTGGAGTTAATTGGGATGTGGTTTAAGCTGATATGGTATAACCTGCATTTGTCATGGGATAGGATGAATTTCAGCCAGTTTCTTAAAATGTAATTTCAACTTTTAAAAAAATGTCTTCTTTCCAGTTCAAATTCTGAACCTAAATGTCCTGTAATTTTTTAAAATATAAGCGGTCAATATCAAAATTGTACTCCGAGTAATATCAGATTTAGTAATTGATTTAAATATAGTTGATTTAAATGTTCACATAAATTCTTAGTAGGCAGCTCCATAGTTTTTCAGTTACAAACAGGAGTCTGGATAGCTTTCTATATATACACTTTGAATTTCTTTTCCCTATTGGTAATTTTTTCATGGACTTACACTCTGATATTATATAGAATAGAAATGGATTTGCCACCGGATCATCTTGGACATGTATCACCTCCTGCAGGTCTTCTTTCTTTCTTTCTATTATCGTTATAGGGATCCTACCATTGCTAGTTTTCCAATTTACGTACTCCAGTGATGATTTAAATTATGTGTGATGAATCTGTGACAAATAACTCTTGTGAAACTGAGATTTGTTTGTTTAAAGTCGGGCTGCAAGGCATGTAAACATGTGCTATTTTTACTGCTCAGTGAAGTAGTTAATTATATTTCAAAGTATAAATGTGGATTGAAGTACTTTATTGATTCAGAACCTTTGAAGTTGTCTGACCTGTAGTGTATTGGGTATTTCATAGCTGACTGTACAATTAAACATTGACTCCGGGGGATATTTAGGTTTAAATTTCCCATTAGAAAGTAATCCTGAAGTGAGGGGTTCTTTTCTCTTGACAAATGCAAAGGATGTGTGAAGAGGTTAAACAAAAATTTTATTCTGGAATTTAAATCAAACTTTTATGCACTGTTTTTGTCATTCATTTATCTGCTTCAGTTAGACTTAAACCGGTTCATTGCTGAACTTCCAGTTGATCTTTGAACCTTCAGCAACCTTTCTTTCCTTTTTTCTAGGTTCTATTCATATAAAAAAATACCCTTTTTCCTTTGTTCCAGACTCTTCTAAATTATCTTCAGAAAGATAGAGACAGCAATAAGACACAGAGTTATGTTCTATAAAATCCCATTAGTACCAAAAGCTTACTCTGTGGATCCTCAAGTATTAAATTTGGCAGCTACTGAATGCTCTCTCACACCAATAAAGTGACTTTCATTGAATGTAATTGAGACAGAATCACAAAAATGGATGCTGAACAGCCTGTTCAATTACCAAGAATACCCCTCTACTTATTGTAGTATACTCATTACTGGTGGAATGATGGTCTAGATTCCCAGTTGCCACATATTGGTGTAGCCACACTGCAGCCTGCATTACTTAGTTGGTTCATGTTATTTGAAGATTTCTTTCCAGATCTGATGATACAAAATAATACCTGATGATATAAAATAACCTGTGAGTTGGAAGCTTTACTAGGATTTAATTCACAGTATTTATGTCGACAAGTAAGTGATGTATTTTACAAGCAGGGCTTTGCTTGGAGCATAACAATAAAATGTGAATCTTTCTCTGGCTTGCTCTGTGTTGGATATGTTTTTAACATTTTCTAGAGGAACAGAGCAAAGAAGCATCTCTCAAAATATAAACTCAGGGGTCTCAGTACACTGTTACTCTCAAAATGAGGACTTTTGTGTATCAGGTTACACTTGCGCTTCCTGTGGAGTCTGCTTCTGATCAGACATGGTTAATCTATTCATCAAGGCTTTTGGAAATGAGAGATTTCAGTTTTTTAGTGTTTTTGTTCTTTTTTTTTTAAGACTTATTTTTATTTTTAGAATAGCCTGTGCTCCTCTATCTGGGCTCGATCCCTGCATTTTACTTGCAGTTTTCTTGCTTAGTTAACTGTAACAATGGAGCAACATAGATACCGAACGTAAACAATTACTTTCTAAGACAGACCCACAATGGTTTGGTGGTAACTTTGGAAAGACTGGGCCCTACTCTCATGTTCCAATTTAGTCTGGCTTGGGGGTTTTGCAGCCAATTTGGAGCCTGCATGTTTTACCCTGTGAGCAGCAACCACATCCATCTGTTTCATCATGTAAAGAGCAGGGACAAACACTTTGGTAATGGTTAAATGTGTATCACAAGATAGCAGTGCACTGTTCTGAATGAATGGTCTCAGAGAAAGGTTTACACTGATACACTGAAGAGACAGCATCTCAAAACGTTACAGCCAGACAATTAAGATACAAATGATGTATGCAATATGATAGTATAACTGCACATCACACATACATGATGCAGAGATGGCTATGGGAAATACTCACTTTTTCACTTGATTCTGCTTCCTTTTGGCTTCTGCACCCCTTTGGTGCATAGCAGGGAAGTAGGTATTTGTGTTTAGTGGAAGAAATTACACTGACTAACAGATACAAGCATTTTACTAATCAGTTTATCATAAGACTGTTGCTGAGTAGACTGACAAACAAAGACCACAAATAATGCATTAAACATTTAATGAACCCAGGCTGAACTCCTGTCCCTGTTGAAGCCAATGGAAATTTTGCACTTTTTTGAGGGGGAGTGTGGGGTAGAAGGAGCAACATTTTCTGTTGGTTTCTAATTGTTTGCTAATCACTTAGAAAATTAGAAATGATGCCTCAAAAGGAGCATCTTTTTCCTTTGTGCAATTGCTTTGTAGGCATTAGAGTTCACCACAAGCAATGTATGGTCTCCAACAGGGGCTGATAAGGAGATTGCCAGACCTGGTTTCCAAAGGAGTAATGATATTTCTATGTGTGTGTGTGTAATATTAGAAATAATATGTATGTGTAATATTAGTGCTGGGCATCTGTGATGCTCCGTAAGAGAAGTGTATGATAGCTGTAGTCCTAAAACATGAAAGGAATAAAATAGGATTGTGGATTTTGTTGAAGGCTCTCACATAAAAACAATTATGTGTTCAGATTACTACCATTAAATGTCCTGATGAGTAGGAACAACAACTTGTGTGCACTAAGTATCAATGGTAAACTAAAGGCATTTGCTTGGGGAACAAATTAATGTATGCAAGTGATGGAAGGAAATAAAATTCATTCTTGTAGTAAGATGGAAATGGTGTGTGTTATGGTAGTGCTCAGTCATGGTCTTCAAAGAAACCAATGAAACCACGTAAGGTTCAATGGCTGCTCCCAGGTGCAAGGTCTGGTGCTGCGACTTTACATCCTTTTGAGCTGAGCTGGAGGATTGAAAGCAATGAGGTGTGCAAAATTAACATTTGACCTGGACCAGGAATAGAATTGCAGTGAGAGCTTAGGGATGGGACCTGAGATACTGAAAATGACACTACTGTGAAGTGGTTGTTTTTTATTTTATATATGCATTGAGTATTATATTTGCACTGCAAGTATTTGTGGTGTGAATACCGATGGCATGAATTGTAACTGAAATCTTAAACTGGTTGCAAACAACCTTCTGGTAAGTAACATACACCGTACTTTTTACAGACCCCTTTATTTGGGGGAAAAATGCATTTCAGTTTAAATTTTCAAGTCAAAACATCTAACCCCCAAGCGACTGCACCGTCTACACCACGCTATTTCCCCCGCGTTGGTGAGGAAACTTGGTGCCGCTGGTGCGAGCTCCTCGGGCAGGGGGTTCAGCCCGGCCTGCCGCAGCTGCCCTTAGGCACGGGGAAGCCGAGGAGCGGGTGAGGTTCCCCCTAGCCGCGTCTCCCGCAGCTGCTCGGCCTCTCCCGTACGCCGGGCCCGACCACCAGCCGCTCCCCGGCCTGCTCGGACCCCGCGCTCCGCCCACCTGTGATGCCATAGTAAGGAGGGGCTTTTCCTCTGCAGACTCCTCCCTCGGAATCTCCTTCATCACCATGGCAACAGCCTTATCTGCCGCCCTGGCGCCTTTCCCCTACAACAGCGAAATCAACAATGGCGCGAGTCAGCAGCGAGCCGAGCAACCACCGCGTCCCAACACACCCCAGAACCGACCAGGCGTTGGCGGCTGGAACCAAAGCGTGGTTGAAAGTAGAATACACAAACACCGTTCGAAAATGGTAACAGTGATAAATCATCCGCGAACCTGGCAGTTAACAGCGTGGGAGGGGCCTAGCCATGGTCTTGTGGCTGTGTCGGAGTTGCCCCAGTGAAGTCCCTAGGAACACAGCAGTGCCGTGCTGTGGCTAGACCTGCTGGAAATACTCCAGCGCCAGCCCAAGCCTTTGGACCTCCTGCAGAGTGTGGTCTCCATATGAGATCCATATCAGGATCGGTTCCCTCAGGTAATTTTAGTTACCCAAGCGTTTATACCTGAAATACCTGGGTTTGTTTGGGTTTTATTTATGTAGTTTTCTATTTATTTTTCTGTAAAAACCATCACTGAGCTGAATTTGCAAATAAAGCACAGTTCCTTGTAGTTCACTGAGGCAAACTCTCCATGAACCTCGAATGTATAAGCCTGGGCCTGCAGTGGTTATAGCTCTAGTAACATCTTAAAAAGCAATTTACATCATATAAACAGTCTGGGGTTTATTTTTGCTAACAATATACAGAGCCAAATTCTGCCATCATAGCCATTGTCACAGTTCTCCCCAGAATGGTCAATGGTGTTGAATTTAATATAAGGATTTTTTTTTTTTTTTATTTTTAAACTTCACTTTAAATTCACTTAATACATTATAAATATTCAAGACAAAATATTTCAACATTATTTAATATTTTAGCCAAAGAAAAATGCAATACCATTGTGCCATGCTCCCTTTTAAGCTATAATTTTTATATAAAAAAGGGTATTTATATTCTTGATTTCACTCAAATTTCTGTATTTTGAGCTCTTGCAAGTGACGGAGATAGTCTGAGCATGCACAAAAAGCATAGCAGCAGAACTGTATTATGTTACTGACACTGGGCATGTCCTTACTATTATACTATAAAAGCTCCTATTGATTTCCATGGAAGTTTTAGCTGTGCAAATTTCCATGGAAGTTTTAGCTGTGCAAATTTCCATGGAAGTTTTAGCTGTGCAAAGACTGCAGGATCTGGCTCCATAAAAGCAACAGTTTCCACTAAACTTAATATATTTAAATACTTTATAAGTCCATTAACAGAAGGGGTTCTTTGCTACCACATCATATACTAGAACTACTTTCACTATCACGGTATTCTGTGTCCAATGAAAGTATCCCCTATTGCTTGCACTGAACTACAAGTTGTTTCAGAAACATTTAATCGGTTGCAGGTAAAACCATTACATACTATTGTGGGTTTTGAAGGAATTTTATTAATAGTCAAGTTAAGATTAGGTTAGCTTGCTTGTGCAACACATCACAGTTACCCTACAGAGTTCTTTGCATGCTGCAAGAAATTTTCAGAGCAGAAGTGTCATAAAAGATAAGCATGCTGGATTTGTGATGCCTTTGATATCCAAAGAACTGCAGAGTCACTGTAAAATTAAATATTTAATTCAATGGGAATTACTTCTAATTGGTAACCATATCAAAGGTTCTTGGCCAATTACATATTTTGTTTGTTCATGATTTATGTGACATTCCAGGTCTATGAAGTTTGTTTCTAGTATGACGCATGGAGCTATCCTTAGCTAGCACTAATAACATGCTATTTGATCTTTAGAAAATGTAGTCCTTTTGTGCTGAGTGCTAGAACAAAATAGTTTATCAGCTAGAAAGGATGCATTGGAAAGCATGCAGTGCTTTTTATTTCTTGCAGAGTAAAAACCCACCAAAGCAAAGGTCAGGTCACTTTTGTGAAGACAGAGCCACTTTTTCTTCAAGGTTTCACCTACTGCCTGAAAAGAGTCATGATACTTGTATTAGTGCCTGCTGTTAATCTTTCATAAACGTAACTGCAAAACCCTGGGAGTGAGTGGTTGATACCATACATAAAATCTGTCTCACCAGTTTACAGTGGCTATCGTACAATGTAGAATAGTAACCTGATGACTACCTCTGTGCTGTTTTTTATGAGCAGAATTTGTATATTTGCTAGTCAAAGCAAGTGATTTGATATAACTTTATTAGTTTTTTTTTAGCTTTCCTATAAGACTGCATGTGAGTCAGGTTGATTTATTTCTGGCTACATGGTCTATGGTATGAAAAACATTGTTCCGAAAGTAGAAGTTACTAGGCAATTTCCTGGATACCAAAGAGAAAGCTACTGCAGTGAAATAGCTTAAATTCTCTGATTCTGGTGGAGTGATAACACAAGTGCCCAATTCATTGGCAATCCAGTTCTTAATTCTGATGACAAGCAATGGATATAGTTGTCCAGTGTGAGGTATGTAAGCTTGAAAATTTTGGTCTCTGCTTGCCATAGTGAATATTATGTATTCAGTCCTTGCCTATGGAGTGATTAGGGAGAAGAATTGGAGAGGAATAAAAACAGGTTTTATATGTCTAGAACAACCTTGTTACTGGTGTGAACTGCAGCTGAAATGATAATTGAAATGATAATATCTAGCACATTTATTACAATAACCATTGAAGGAATTTTTCTTTTTTTTTTTTTAAATATTTTACAAAAGATGCTGTTTACTTGGCCTCCTTCAATATTAAGTGTTGTTTCTTACTGGTTTGGCTTGCCATATGTTACAGTATTTTATTGCTCAAACCCTGTAATACTGTAACAGCTAATCTTACACTTGCCAGGTCTTTAAAGTGAATGTTTTGCTGATAGTGCAGAATTGCAAGATAAGTTATTTTCTCATGAAAACAACAGTTTAGAATTTCATCGTTCCCTATTTGTCTGCAATATATAGATTGAAACAGATCATGCAAAGCGTAACAACCAATGTACAAATCAAGACAAACATGAATTGATGAAAAAAACCCATAATTTCTTTACATGGAACATACTGCTTAAGAAAACATGTCAGTGTTTCATTATTCAATACACTTAAAGAGAAACAGTCCCTTTAGGTGATATCTCCAGAGCAAAATAGGGAGTAAAATTCTGAGTATTCCCATGATGCTAAATATTTATAATAGAATAGGGTTGAAAACTCAATAAGGTTTCTCTAGGTTTGTCCTTTGGGATCAGATAATGGATAGTAGTAAACATTTTCAAAGGAGTATACTGATTCGCCAAGATTTTGTAAAGAAGCAATATTTTTTTTTTTCCCTCCATCTGGTGTTTCTGAATAGTTACAAATTAAATTTTGTACAAGTGTACAAGTCACACTATTTAGAGGTGGCAACTAGTAGTGAGTATGTAATTAAGGTACAGTAAGAGCATCTTGATGTAAATTTCTAGGGCAGCAGACAGTTTTGGTTGGTTTTGGTTTGATTTTTTGTTTTTTTTTTATTTATTTTTTTTTAAATCAGTGATGCAAATAGCTTTGTAACTGTGTTCATGTACAGTAAAGCTATTCTTTAAATATATGGGACCAATAGATCACCTTCAAGTCATGATGGGCAGATCAGTTAGAATGAATACATGGTCATAGAATCATAGAATGGTTTGGGCTGGAAAGGACCTTAAGATCATCAAGTTCCAACCCATCTGCTGTGGGCAGGGACACCTAACAGTAAACCATGTCACCCAAGGCTCTGTCCAACCTGGCCTCGAACAGTGCCAGGGATGCAGCATTCAGAACTTCCTTGGGCAACCTGTTCCAGTGCCTCGCCACCCTCACAGTAAAGAACTTTTTCCTTACATCTAACCTGAATCTCCCCTGTTTAAGTTTTAACCCACTACACTAATACTCGAAACATTACTGTTTGGTAAAATAATATATAAATCTGTAATTCTTCATTACAGTGGTTTGCAAATCTTTTCTCATATGTGAAAAGCCAACAGCCAATGCTGTGTGAATATTTGACATTTTTGCATTAATATTTAAAACTGTAATGGTTAATTACAGGAATTCTTTGTCCTCTTCTATGGTATAAAAGGATTTTATCTAAATTGATAATGTAATTATAAGTTTGCTTTTGACAAGTATTTAAGGTACGGGAGTCCCAAATTCACCTTTCAGGAATATTTTTACCACTTATTCTTGTGAGAAAGTGAACAGAAAGAAATTGAGTGACTGGATGATTATTTCTTTTTTAAAGAATGCATAAAGAAATCAGGCCTTTATATAAATTTGAGCTGTTCTATTTAGTTTCCAAAGATCCTAGCAAGCTGTTCCAGCTTTACTTGACCCTAAAATGCCTCTCTATTCACTGAGCTATTGGGAATCATCTCAGCATGGGCATGTTTAAAATTAAGCTTTTGTAAAATTCAAGTTTTACCACAGCTTCTCCTGTAAAGACATTTGATAGAATAAAGTGCCAGTACCTGTGTGATATCATTACTGAATTCATGTGGTATCTCTCCTGTTTAAGGAGAAACAGAATAATAACTTGCTGTATTTATGAATATACTGCCAAAAAAATAACCAGCTGTCCTGAACTTTTCACATCAGGCTATTGAAGTGTGTTTAAAAACAAAACAAGAACAAAAAAACCCACTGAGTACTTCTCAGTTCAGAATGTCTTGAAGTACTGATCTGCTCTTTTAATAGCTTTAATAGGTGGGGGAGAGTTTTTGTCATAGAATCATAAAATGGTTTGGGTTGGAAAGGGCCTTAAGGATCATCCAGTTCCACCCCCCCGTCATGTGCAGGGACACCTTTCAGTAGACCACATCACCCAAGGCTTTGTCCAACCTGGCCCTGAACACTGCCAGGGATGGAGCGTTTACCACTTCCTTGGGAAACCCATTCCAATGCCTCACCACTTTAACAGTAAGGAACTAATTCTAAATATTTAATCTAAATCTACCCTCAGTTTAAAACCATTCTCTTGTGTCCTATCCCCACATGCCCTTGTAAAAAGTCCCCCTCTAGCATTCTTGTCAGCCACCTTTAGGCACTGGAAGACTGCCCTAAGGTCTCCCCAAAGGCTTCTTTTTCCAGGCTGAAGAAGCCCAAAGTAAACTTTATGAAACATACATTAGTGGTAACTTCAGGTTGTAATAGCTTTAGTCCTTCTGTGTTAGGATAAAGAACAGGAAGAGCTACTGTATGTGTTGAACTTGGGATGCTTGGCTGCTGTCCAGATCCCGAGGCAGCTGATATGTTAGACTTGCAGAACTAATTAAGCAGCCTATTCAAAATGGGCTTTATACACCACAAATCTTTGTGTTTTGAGCAATTTAAAAATAAAAATGAAGGGACAAATTTGTCTTTACTGTTTAAAATTATGCAGTGCTAAAATTTTTACCTCTCGAAATGAGCACACACTGCTATGCAGTGGTACCATGTGAGTTCTAGTGTTGATTATGACTGTGAGCTCTTGATTTCACATAGGATCTGTGTTTATTACTTTGGTTTTTTTCCTTCTCAGGCTTTTCTGTTCATGTTTTCTGCATGTGTCTGACTTTTAATCATCTATGCTTTTCTACTGATTTTTAGTGGTGGTATATCTTGCATTTTAGATATCATTGAATATAGTGAGAAACCACATGGTGACGTACTGTTAGGAACCAATACAAGATGGTTATTTAAACAAATTCTCTTTCATCAAAACTCTTGTTAGGTTTTTATTATGAGCTTGCTACAGTTCATAGCTGAGGTAAATGTGAACATACTTCCGTTAGGCAGTGCTCAGTTGGCTGTGGTTTAGACACATATGTCCTGAACTGGAAGTAGTATTGTCAAGGTAGACCCGTTTTCAGGTCCTGAGCTAGTATTTCCATATTGTATGTGCATCTTTAGAACCTCTTATCAAACTTTCTGTTGTCTTTCTGGACTCATGACCTTTATTGGCTCATTCTTATGAGATTATGATGAAATATGTTGGCTGCAGTGAAGGAATCAGGGATAAGAAGGCTTGGCTAAGAAGTAATTTACAGTGAAGCAGCTAAATCCATACTGAGTTCAAACTTTACATCTTTCATGTCTTTCTCTTTTCATTTGCATATTGATAGATTCAGTATATGATTTCAATATTAATATGGGAAGACTTTACTGCATACAAGAAAATTGGCAAAGAAAAAGATAACAGCTGATAAAAGGTTAATCAGCACAAACATTCACATTTACCTTCTTTGGCTTGTGTTTATGTCCTTTAAATGGACATAAATGTCAATACAACTGGTTTAATTGCATTCCAGTTTGAGAAGCATTTGCACTGAAATGGCATTGTTAGGTTTTATATTTATTGACCATCAGTAACTGTTGGATTACAGTTGCCCTCTCTTTAGAAGCTATCTCATTTCGATGCCTATAGGTCAACTCTGAAATACAGTTGTATTTGACTTCAACAATTTCTTCAACAATTTCAGGGAATAGCTGTAGAATTTCTTTTCTCTCTGCTTAGTCTGTGTCAGGGAATATTGAAATCATTTGATTTAGCAATTGGCAACTTCAAATTTGTTCTGTAGTCTTCAGCAGAGAATACTGAAATTTTGTCTCTCCCTCAGTTTGAGTTAATTTTATGTTGACTTCAGTATCATAAACCCTACTCATAACGTACAGGTAATAACAGAATTAGTTTATTACTATGAAAATGCATGTACTGAATTAGAATAAGGCTTTCCTGTAGTACTTACTAGTTCAAGTGAAATTCAAGGAGCACAGATCATTTTCAAAATAGGCTGGTGACTAATGTACTGTCCATCATTTGAACGTGAGTTGACTGTGCGCATAATGTGTCAACTATGTGTTTTGTTCACTCCTTCCCAGTGCATAATGTAGGGGTTCTTTACCTCTGAAAGCTGCTACACAGTTCTTAATGGGTTTGTTTCGTGAAATGTTTAGAGAACTCAGACTGTCTGCGGCAGAAGTTGTAAGATTAACGGCTA